ATAATTGACAACCATTAATACAACTGTAATTTATAAATAAATAAATTGGATTTTTTTTCCTTTAACTTTAATTTAAGAACGATTTTGTAATTATGTTCAAAATTGAAAATAATAATTAAATAGTAAATACTTTTATTTGACTTTATTTCTTGTGAACTTTTTTTCAGTGGCTATTTTTTCCTATATTCGTTGTCTCCGTTTTACAAATGTACAACAGAGCAAAAACTGTTTTACGAGGGAAAGAACCGAGAACTCTACAGTCTAAGAAACGAAATTTTCACCACATATATAAAGGAGAACTTTGCCTGTGCAATATCGTTTTTATTTTTTTGATATCACTTAAACGAAAAAAGTTCTTATTGTGTCAAAATCCATTATTATTTTTGTTTTTCAAACAATAATAACTTTTTTTAAAGTTCCGATAAAAAAAAAATGTTATTGCACAGCCAAAGTTCTCCTATTTAGGTGGTGAACATTTCGTTTCTTATAGTTTTGATTGGAGCGTTCTCGATTCTTTCCCATGCAAAACAGATTTTGCTATGTTGTTCTTGTACATTTGTAAGACGGACACATACGGGTGCAACGTCCTCTTAAGTCTGGTAGGTACATAATTATTAGGTAGTGGTTTTCATTTTTCACCGTACCTACGTAATTTTGTGACGACTATGATGACGACGTCACCAAAACAGATATCAACATTTTGTTGTGTAACATGCTTGCTCCGCCTTCGTAATTTTTTTTTCAAAAATATAATATATATATACTAGATAGTAGATTGGTATATTATTTTTAATTTGACTACCGGGCACCCAATAAAATTGTCTGGAAACGTCCACTATATTTAATATTTATCCAACTAAAAAGTATATAATCAATAATTGAATTATGTTGACTGTAATTATAAATGTATAACTATTATCAATCTAATATTTAAAAAGTATTTTAATTGATTTTTTTTTTTATTGGGCCCGGTAACTATATGAGTATATGACTAATAGCTGTTTTTTTGTTTGTAGGGAGGAGGAACGGTTGGTTGAAAAACGTTTGTATGACAAAGATGTGTAGCTAAAAATCAAGTGTGGTCACTGGTCACCTATCCCGGAGCTAGCAACACCGGCCGATACCTACACTCAAAGCATTTCCACAGTTGAGTGTACTACGGACCGCACTACTTTAATTGTTTGTTTGTTCACAATTGACCGATTGAATTAAGAGGCATTTGTTATGGAACTTTGAGTTTGTTTTTTGTTGGGTTGCTATTAGTTACACTTACACAACTACATACGCGTATTTACTGACACAGCAAAGAAAGTTAGTTATTTTGAAAATAATGATTGAGAATTGGTTCAAAACTGCATTTTAGATTCTGAGTGGAACAATTGATTTTACAATGATGGGTGTTTTTTTTTATTTTTTTTTTATTTTAGTGTGTGTACACGATAAGTAGTCGAAATAATACTACGATTTTCAACATCAGTATCTTGTTTGATGGGAAAGTGAATATTGTTGTTGCATTGGGGAGGTAAAAATTTAAAATTCCCAGTAATTTTCAAAAGTGCCGTGAAAAACAAAAGAAAAATTAAGGAAAAACGGGAATTTTTACCCAAAATCGACAGTGGTTCTTGGTGTAACTTTTAAACAAATTAAAGTAGATAGGTACATGCAATTTTCACGGGTTGTTTATATTTGTATTTTCTACACACGATAAAATTTTCAAAATATTTTGAATTATGTAGGGAAATTTTCAGTTTTCAATTTTATTATCTATGAATGTATAACACATGAATCTATAACACTTTATTTGTCGAGTAAAAATACTTAAAAACTTAATACAAGGCTCCTTCTATATTGTTACATTGACATTTAATAAATATTAAAAATCTTTAGTCACAGTTTTTTTTATAAGTATTTAAAGTTCAAATCTTGACAAAATATGGAAAAATCACGAAAATTGTCAAATTATTTTGAGTTAGGAATTCATAAAATTTTTTTTTTTTAATCTAAGATATGAAAATGTAATACAAGATTCCTTATAAGTTTGTCTACTTTTATCAACAAAAAAATGTCCATAAGAAAATCAACTAAATTTTTATGAGCATTTGAAGTTCATATTTTTACAACATTGGATATTCACTCGATTTATCATATAGCGATTTTCTTATTTTAATGCAAATTTAAAAACGAATAACTATAGATGCATGAAAATTTCACTAAATGTTTATTTTATCAATTCTTATACTTGATAACATTTTCAAAATAATTTGACTTATTTTGAGCTGTTTACAGACAATTTCATATTTCAATTTTTTATTTTTTATTTCTATGAATATCAATAAAGTTTTATCTGTTGGGCCAAAAAGTGTAAAAATTTAATACAAGGCTCCTGATATATTGTTACAATTTTATTTGAAAAATATAAAAAATACATTGGCACAATTTTTTTATAAGCATTTAAAGATCGAGTTTTTACAAAATGTATCAAATTTAAAATTGAATAATTATTTTGTAGTTAAAAATTTATAAAATGTTCAACTTTTATATCTAAAGATTGAAAATTTAAAACAAGATTCCATGTAAGTAGTTAATTCTGTTACCAAAAAATCTAAAAAATACATAGGTACAGTTTATTTTTATAGGTAGTCATTTTAAGTTCAAATTTGGACGAAATTACATAATAATAAACCTAGAATAACTATTTTAGTTTTTAGTTATATTGTTGTGATTGTATATTATTAGTGGGTACTTGATACTTCTCAAGTATACTACTATATATCTATGATAGTATCAGGGTTTGTTGTTGATGTATAATGCGTTATAATAATGGATATTGTGATATGATTAATTTGGAATTTATTATAGGTACAAATTTTTTTTAATACCATAGATAAGTATATTATATAATATGTCTTATACCTAGTCTGACAGACCGTCTCCGCTCAAAATCGTTTTTCTTATAGGTACAATGATATTATATCATTGAATTCAAAATTAATACCATCAATTATACAGTGACCCCCTTGTAACTTACTGTACAGCAGAGTGACTTTTTTTTTGCGTCTGTCTGCTGTCATCACCTTTTACTTTTTAGGACAGTTAAAATGCTTAGATTTTATTTCATTTTCTTCTGATAAAAAGTAAATCTAGTTGGTAATTTTTTGAGGTCAAAAGTTAAAAACTCCCAAAAGTTTTTAAAAGCACCGAGAAAAAAAAATTAAGGAAAATATTTACGCCAAATCGGGTTTCTGACAAAATTGATTTTTGTTTTTGGTGTAACACTAAAACAAATGACCATAGATACTTGAACATTTGACTGATTGTTTATATTTGCATTTTCTATACACGATAACATTTTCAAAATATTTTGATTTATTTTTAACTATTTAGGGACATTTTCATTTTTCATTTATTTTTAGTTTTTTTTTTAGAAATATCAATAAAATTTTATTTGTTGGTTAAAAAAACTTGAAAATTTAATAGAAGGCTCCTAGTATATTTGCATTTTCTATACACGATAACATTTTCAAAATATTTTGATTTATTTTTAACTGTTTAGGGACATTTTCATTTTTCATTTATTTTTTTCTAGAAATATCAATAAAATTTTATTTGTTGGTTAAAAAAACTTGAAAATTTAATAGAAGGCTCCTAGTATATTTGCATTTTCTATACACGATAACATTTTCAAAATATTTTGATTTATTTTTAACTGTTTAGGGACATTTTCATTTTTCATTTATTTTTAGTTTTTTTTCTAGAAATATCAATAAAATTTTATTTGTTGGTTAAAAAAACTTGAAAATTTAATAGAAGGCTCCTAGTATATTGTTTCAAAGGCAGATGAAAAATATTAAAAATCGTTAGTCACAGTTTTTTTTTATAAGCATTTAAAGATCATAAATTGACAAAATATAGAAAAATCACGAAAATTAGCAAATTATTTTGAGTTAAGAATTCGTAAAAATTTTTCTTTTTAAATCTATAAGATTTGAAAATGTAATACAAGATTCCTTATAAGATTATCTACCTACCTTTATCAAAAAAAAAATGTCTATAAGAAAGTCAAATTAAATTTTTATGAGCGTTTGAAATTCAAATTTTTACAACATTCTATACACTATAAAATTTTTAAAATATTTTGATTTGTTTTGAACTGTTAACAGACATTATCAGTTTCCAATTTTTTTTTTCTATAAAATGTCTAATAAAATTATATTTGTTGGGTAAAAAATCTTGAAAATATAATACAATGCTGTTAAGTCCTCTTAATATATTGTTACAATGATATTTGAAAAATATTAAAAAAATCCAGTCACAATTTTTTTTTATAAGCATTTATCAAATTTAAAATCTAATAATTATTTTGTAGTTAAAATTTTATAAAATGTTCAACTTTTATAGCTAAGGATTGAAAATTTAAAACAAGGTTTGATGTTAATATATAAATTACTTTATTCACAATAATATTATCAAATATACTTAGGGATATCATAGGCTGACACCGCTGTCTGACCGTTTTCGCTCAGAATCGTTCTTCTTATACAATGATATTTTATCATTGAATTCAAATTTAACACCATCCATTACATCCTTTTTTTTCTATACATATATATGAACTATTCTGGATTAAAGCCTAGCAGGTACTTGAGTCTATAATAATTGCTCATTATAGGTTAATTGAATCCATCGGTGAATTTTAGATGAGAGGTGAGTACTCACTGTTCAGAAAGCGGTTAGGCGTGAAATATAATTAGAAAGGTACTGCTTTTCATTACTTACACGTAATTTTTATTTTTTAAACAATAATTAGTTTTATAATCATTAATATACAAATGAATTTCAAATATTAATATCTACTAAGTAAAACTAAAAATGAAATTAATTATTTTAAAAGTAATGACAATTATCTTTAGATGAAGGTTATCAATTTAGTTTTCGTAAAGATGCGGGGTACAAGACATCATAATGGTTTGTCTCCGTCACATCCAATAGGGTTGATTACATTAAGTTGAAATATTACTATTTACATCATATACTTGGCCACTGAATAGTATATTTTTAGTAGCACGGTTAAAAATGTAAAAAATAAAAGGCCGATCTACAAGGACGGTCACAGGTGATGGTTGAGGTATGTTACTCAAAGGTATAACTGAAACAACTGCAAAATAAATACATAAGGATGTTAACAATTAATAATTGTATAAGTAATTAATATCAGTGCAAAATTATGTTTAAAAAAACATGATATATCAATATGGACAGACAAGTGGTGTATTTAGGTTAAGTTAGATTTCTCTGAGGAATGTGACATTTAAACAACGCCAAGGCCGCACAAGGGTACAAAACGGAAATAGCAAAAACCCCATGAAATAAACAAATAAATGGACAAAAAGTATCCTGAACTCCTTTTAGTATAAAATTAATTTGTAGCTTATTCTGCTACAATTTCCAGTTCTATAGAAAAAAATATGCAAATGTTACAAATCTCGAGCCCTGCTGATTACCAATACATATTTATATAATATATAATTGATACAACAATAAACGAACATAGATATAACCTTAATATATAAATACCTGTGACTGCGCCTGCTCTAGAGCCTTTTTCATTGACTTCCATAGTGACTTTATGTGTTATATCCTTCACTAACACTTGTTTTGCTGGGTTAAATATTGATGTCAGATTTGCGTTACTACTAAAGATTGATGTTAATCCCATCTAAATATATAATTAATTACAAATATTATTAAGATTTGACAATGTTAAATGTAAAATATATATGAAGGATAATCAAATGAGTGACATAAAATGCTGCATATCTGAAGCGTATACATTTTAACTTCGCGGAGGCTAGTTTAAAAATAATGAATATATTATACTTCAAATATTTTTTGAATATAAAATTTTCAATTTTTGAAAATGTTGATTTATACGCATTTTGATTTTTTAATTACCACAAAAAAATGATTATAACGAAAAACTCATTACAGAATACACATCATATAATACAAAAAGTTATAACTTAAAAATATGTGTCGTAATTTTAGAGCACATGTTTTTACTCATCCACTTGAACAATGCGTATTAATACTCATTTATTTATATTCAGTTTTAAGTTTGAAAATAATTATATTGGTTAGGTTTGTACTTTATTTAGTGTATATTATTATAGTAAAACTACTATCTTATTTATTAGTAGTAATATAGTAAAAGACATATGTAAATAATTTGTATAAAATATTCACAAATGTGTTTAAAATGTCTTCTTTTATATTAAAAAAGGTTTTCAGAATTATTTAGAAATATTAGAATACATACAATAAATTAAATTACGGTTTTACAAGAATAATAAGCACTAATAAAAATTAAATTTTCTAAACCTATTTTTTCAAACTTAAAATACTGAATGTAAATAAATAAATAGAATAACAAAAGAAATACCCATCAGAAATAATAAATAGTTTTGCTAACCTTGTAATTTTTATTTCGGCAATATCAGATAATAGGTATCCGCCAAAAAAAAAAATGCAGATATGCTTCTGTGTAAAATTCTAATTTCTAACTTTAATATCCATATATTTATATTTATACCTTTTTAAGTACAGACGGTAACTTTGTCGAGAAATCAATTTTGAACCGTGGCAAAGATAAATTGACAGTTCTTTCATCAATTGAATTCAATATTTTAGAAAAAGAATTATGTTGTGAGTCTTTCAATACTTGTACAGTTGAAGTATTTTCATCCGGCAATAATATAAGCATAGAAAAATTGATATCCTATAAAATATATATAAAACAACAATGCACATGATGAAATAATACCTGACACCTAGTAATTTTATATTTACCTTTTATAGTAAATATGTAATAATTTAGGGCAGAGAACTTGTAGCCATAAACAGTCAATATTGAAATATGCATTTGAATACCCAAAATATGCAGTTTTATATGCAAAATAAAAAATATACCTAAAATATACATTTATATCCAAAATATAAATTTTAAAAATAAAATTTAATTCAGGCAATATGGCATCGCATTGTAAACGATTATCTATCTATTATTAAAATTAATCTTATTGTCTTATCTATCTTCAAGTGTTTCTAGGAAAAACGTGCAGCCGCTTACGGTTAAAAACTATATTATTCAACAAAAATTAAAAATATTTATATTTTGGTTGCATAATTTAACATAAAAACATCAGTAAAGTAAAAAATTGATAAAATTATTAATTAAATTAAAATATTACTCTGAAACTATTAAATGGATGAGATATGCCCTAAAAACAAAAAAAAATCAAAATATGCGTTTAAATGCAAAATAAAATTTTAAAACTAGCTAGGTAATAAGCATGTAACATATTTGTGACTGGTCAAAACAAATATGCAAATCCTACAAGTCATCTGCCCTAGACTAATCAACAATATTGCTGTAACTACTAACTATGTGGTATACAAATTATTTATTATTTTTAATTCCACATTACATTTGAATAACATTCTCTTAACCCTTTTTTTTAAAACAAACCAACTCATATTATGTCTTTAAGTTTAGACTAAGTAAATATGTTAATAAGTAGATATCATTGAAGGTTCTGTCACCGAACGGACAACCTACTCATACTAAGTAAATAATGTAAACTATTCTTCTTATATTATATTTACTTATTATACAAATACTGTGATCAGAAACAACGTCCACCTGCTTGGTTGCTATACTAACTGAGCTCGTGCCAGGATAGCATTTTTTGTTAGTTATATAATTTTTAAATAACTAATATTACCTATTTAAAATTTTAAAATAGAAATCATTATGTTTCATTAAAACTAATAAATAATTAAAATTACATTCAATTCTATTAATACTAAATACAACTTTTTAAAAACTACATTTTCCTTGTAAAAAATAAAAACATACCATTTTTGATTTTTTTCAGAAAAAAAAACATTAACTTTTTACTGTTTATATAAATTTTAGCCTATTTAATTTTCAGTGAAAAACTCTAGTATTTTAACTTTAAATTATTTTCAATTTTTTATCACTTATTTTATCAGTGATTTATCACATTTTTTATCCTAATAAAGTTTTTTACCCAATTGTATTACTTATTTGTAAATTTAATCACCTTGTAAAGCAGTTCAATAACTTGGGCCTTAATATCTGGTATGTACCCATATCCTAGGTGGTTTTGTAAATTCATCATGCTGACTTCGGTGCACATACTAGGTTTTGTGTAAAAACACTGTTTTTTAGTGCTATTTTCATCAAATTTCACTAACCAATCTCCTTTGAAATAAAGTACATTTGTCAATAAAAGTTCAGTGTTTCCATCAAAATCATCTGTAAAATTATTTTAAATGTACTAAATTCTTTAAACAGCAAACAATTGAAAAATAAAAAAGTTGAAAATTTTTCCTATTATACTTTCAGACTTAAAAATAAATTTAAAAAAAAAACACATTTCAAAATCAATGCTCAGAATCAACTTACTTAACTAAAAGTAAAGTAAGCCTTACTAAAGTAATGCTAATATTTTTAAAATACAATTTTAAATACAAAAATACACGCACCTTTAGAAATTACACTGTTTATAAGTCCATGTGTAACATCAAAAATTTGTTTATTGATCATTTTAACTGATGCTTCAATATTAAGAAGATTAATTTCAGTTATATTAGCTGAGTATTTATCTTGTGCCGTCTCTTTGAAATAGTTAGATATACTGTTCTTGTTCTTAACAAAGATGTTGTTGACAACCACTAAATCAATTAGATTACTCTCCATAGACAATTGGTTTGCATGTAACACATTATGAAATGTTGATTGGTCAGTTGGTAAACGTAATACCCTATTTAATTGATCCAAAGTATCTCCGCGAGCACCTTCCGATAATAATGTTAACATGGTTTTAATACTAGCTGGAGAAACTACAACATTTGAATCTGGTTGATTTAAGCTAAGTTCCTATGCAAATTAAAAACAAAAAATATAATAATATTTATTAATAATTATATTAATAATATAATAAAAAATAAAAATAATAAATTAAAATTTATTGAAGTACCGATAATGAATATTATATGTAAAATAATTACTTGAAATAGTTCTCTGTCAAAATAACTAAACCGCTGGAAGTCAATCTCTTGTTCAAAATTATTTTTCATTTTCAACTCAATGTTTCCAACGGCTATAATATATAATGCATATAATGTATATTTTCATATTTTTAAATCTGGTGGTGGTTGGGAACAATGGAACATATTTTTATAACCCAAACTGATTATTCCTTGACGTAAAAAAAAAGTCTCCTAAAAACCACTTGATTAGAAGAATGTTTGTTCCTGGTGTTGGAATTTAAATATTAATGAGTCCTATTAATTATAAAACTGGAAAATATAATTTTATTTAATATACTCGATAATACAACCAAAATATTTTGAAGGGGTCAAAGATCTCTTATAACTAGGCTAAAAATTGTAATTGATCATTTTTTAAATTTAAAATTATAAATTTACATTTTATTGGAGTTTTAGACTTAACCGGTGGAATAGACACTACAGGCGAGCCCTGTGAAAGTGGATTCGTTACTTGTCCAACAAATACTATGGTATTCATTGTAATATCTTCTATCATGAATAAAAATGGTCTATTGACTTCAAAATAAGCTTCAATTGGTTCCCCGAAACGGTGATCTAATTCAACTTCTATAATATAAAAAACAAATTATTAATTTTACCTATATACACATAATACAATTAATATTTTATAATTATTAACTAAAACAAACCAGTAGCTGCATGAGCGGTACTTCCTTGTTCATTTACTTCGAGTCCAGCTTTTTGAAGTACATTAGACACAATAAGACTACCAAATTGGCCATCATTACCTAAATTTGTTAAATTTGCATTTTGTCCAAACATATCGGTAATACCTAACTATTAATTACCACAAATAATAAAATATATTAGTTAAGTTTAATATTACATTATTACTATCAAAGTTACTAAATTACCTGTATAAATACAAATACAAAGCATCATTATTTTAATTTGATTATTATACAGGTCCTTTAATCACCTGCAAAATTTTCAAGAAAGAAATTGGAGTGTACAAGTATAAGTATCGGATCAATTTTGAGCATTTAAGAAGTTGCAGTATAACAGGGATATGTACCAACCTGAATCGGACTTTGATAGTAGGTATGTAACTATTCATAGGCGTGTCTACGGTGATAGCCTAAGGTGCCTGGGCTGTCCCTGCAATTTTTGAAAGGTGCCGGTCAACCAAGTTTTAAGTCAGAAGGGTTACAACATTTCTTTTTTTTTTAAACTTGATTTTATTGTGGGTATCGTTGTAATTACCATTTACCTACAAAGATTGATTTCCTGACTTCCGAAATCGGAAAAACCTACTATAAAAACTTGAGACAGACGACGACGGTATAGTATGAATCTAGGTATTATTTATATTATTATTGTATTGTTTTTAATTTGTAGCTAGGTGGTGTACTCCAAGGCTGTAGATGAATAATATTTCTGAAGTTACTGTAGATTATTATTGTAAATAGATAATTTAGACTTATTTTAAATAATAAAAATATTTCATTGTGGAGGGGGGGCTTAAAAAATACGGCTTTGGGTGTATAGGGTATATTTTTCAGTTAACTAATAAGGTAGAGCCGGTTATTAGCTAGGCTGCCCCTGACGATAAAGTCTAGTCACGCATTTGTAACTATTCCTAACATATACATATCAAATTTTTCTTCTTGAAAATCTTGCTTTACCTTTCTCAACACAGATAACTAGAATAAAAATAAACTGTTTTAAAAAAAGTCTAACCTTTTGTAATAATGGTCCAAGAATTGATGTATATTCAAAACTAAATCTTGGTACCACAACTTTTGTAGAATACGTCTTCATATTTTTTATTGATTCACCCAATAATGATGGATTAATTTTATTAATTAGATCATCCAAACCATTTTCATCTGGCAATATTATATACATAACAAATTTGTTTCCCTATAAAAATATTGTCAAGGAGGTAATACTAATTAATATACAAATGTAATGGATGTGATGTTATGTAAAAGGGCTAGACCCGTTGAATTATAAAATAAATAAAAGTAATGTTAAAAATCACATTTTACCTGATATGGTAAACTAATTAATCTAGCATTAAGTGATTCTATAGTAGATAATTTAAAATTGCTATAAGCAGTCATTAATTGAACATCAACAGCAGTTTTTGAGTTTAAATAAAATGCACCCCTTTTCGTAAGTTCTTTATTAAACGGAGTTGTCCAATATCCTTTAAAATATATAGCATTCAATAAAAGAAGAACTGTGCTTTCTTTGGTTTCGGCTAAAATAAACATAATATTTTAATTTTGTAATTAAATCTCATAATATACATATCATTAATGATATTATAGTTAGATACAAACCTTCAGATATTAGTTGTTGAATACGCCCATGAGTAAGGATTTCTGCCCATTGATTTATTGAATTTACAGCATTTGCTGGTTTACTAAAATCAACCACCTCTAAACTTGAATTATACCACCTAGATATAGTTTCTATAAAATCAGGTTTTGGTTGAACTGATACATCCATAAACAATTTAGTGCCAATATCCAATTCATAATCATCTTTACCATGACTCTGAGTAAAACGTTAAAATTTTAAACTAATCAATAAAAATTTAAAAGTAAAAATGTATGTAAGTTGTAAAGCAGTAAAGCCAATGTTACAAATAAATAACTAAATAATTGTTGTTATTCTTCGTTTAGTATCTAAATTTGTTCAAATTTGAAAATAAAAATAAAAATAAAATATAAGCTATTTGACCTAGCAAAATATTTTTTTTCGATATTTATGGGAAAAATAAATTAAAAATTGAAAATACCTTTAAACAGCTCAGAAAGAGTAAAACTATTTTTAAATTATACCATGTATAGAAAATGGTAATACAAATATTTGTTGAAAATTTAAAGTATATACGGATATTTTTTTTTTTAATTTTAACAAAATAAGATAATTGTTGAATGAGAAACTGTTTATTTACAAATGAATATCCAATGTCGTAAAACAATTAAGGTACGGTTTCCCTGCAGCGTCAGACGCGAGAACAGCATGGCTGCGTCAGACGCGGCGTCTAGACGCGACCTACGTCCAGACCGGTAGTGACGCTAGACGCCGCGTCCAGACGCTGTCGGGAAACCGTACCTTTATTCTTTTTTTATTTGTCAAAGGTTGGAGAACTTAAATTAATTATGAGTAATTTTGTATTAAATTTTCAAATCTTGGATATAAAAAAAAATTATTCTATGAACTTCTAACTGAAAATAGTTTGCAAACCAAGCAAAAAACTATATAATACTTAATGTATGAATGTATTATCATAGGCGGAACTACGGGTCAGGCCATGGCCCGACCTAATACTGACTAAAAATGTGTATATATTATATATTTTAATAATTATTTAGGCATTATAAATAATATATTTATAAATGTAAACGTACATTGTTAATATTTCTTAAATTTAATTTAACATTTCTAAATTAAATTGTACACACTACACCAAGGGCAGATCTAAAGGGGGGGAGGTCAGGAGGTCACCTGACCCACAGTTAATATTTTCTCATCAAATCGGCCTCTTTTTAGATCTTGGGTAGTTGACACTTGAACCCTCAAATAAACATACATACAATATAAATTAATTTTTTTTGTTTTTAATACCTAGTATACAAGCATAGATTTCTAATCTGGTTTTAAAAAAGTGGCGCCTTGAAATGTCCATACCCACAGTTTCCTAACTCTGGATCCGCCCCTGCACTACACAATGAAAATAATAATAAAATGTATTCTATGTACTCGAATAATCGGTTTATCAGTTACTGTTTAATTTAGACATTTGACGTTTATTTTTATATTATAGCAAGTAATAGTTAATAGTAATAGTTTACGTAAGAAGTCGCTAGTCGGCGATGTTTTTTACGTGGTGATATAGGTGCCCGTAGAAAATTATTGTCGATTATATACATACTTTAATATTTTTCATATTATTTCTTTTATTATAAACTTAACTTATTGTAAGTAATTTACATTATTTCGTGTACTTTAATACCTCCAATGTCCAATAAAAGTGTCTAGTTTCGCCAATGTGTATTATTATATCAACATTTATAAAGAAAAACACAAAAAAATTCAAGTCTATAAATAGCTAAAGTAAAAATGTTGAAAATTCTATTATGTACAGAAAAAGATAATGTAAACATTTACTCCTTTTAAGTATAATTCATTGTGCATATGGAAGGAAAATCATAAGCCATGGCGTTGCCCGTGAGCCTCGCTTATGGTTATGTGAACAGTATATCATCAGGTAGGCAATATACTTGCAGCAGATTGCGGACACAGCGAGATGGGTGATAAAATAAAACCTATATTACTACTATATTACACTCATTTCAGGTTAAGATTGAACCGGCTTCGCGCATGCAGACTGAGCCGCCGAACAGTGACTGACCCGGCTGACCCCCGTGGGCCGTGCTATGTGTTCTGTGATTGGCCGACAGTCATCGAAGTCTATCGTCGATCGTCGGCGGCGGTGCTACACTCCTACTGGTGTCCGGAATGCGCGAAAAAAACATGTTTTGGTCGAGCGAGCGGTTCAATCTTAATCTGAACAGAGTATAGTTTTGCATTTGAAAAAAATGTTTATACAGTGTACCTACCTAAAATAGTATTAAAGTCATAGTTGATCATCACGAATTTTTAGGAGTGTTTAATATTTATAAATTAATATATTTTATTTTAATTAATTTCATTTTATTTTACGGACAAATCGGCTTAATTGTACCTAGCTTTGTGAAATAATTCCAAATTCGTATATATAACCTGCAACCAGAGGCAACCATTAATAAACAAAAAAAAATTTCAATTTCCACCCTGAATCTTAAGATCCCTGTCTGACCACCTCTTTAAACTACGAATAACAGAAAATCCTTTTTTATTACACATCTAGAATATACACCATTTAAGGAACCACTATTCCAAATATCAAGTACGTACGTTTTGTATTTTAAACCCAATGTTGTATATTTATTGTTGCTTGGTAGATGGTGTCACTGTTGTATTCTTACAACCACTTATTTTCCCCTTTAGGGTTTCAATATCCAAAAATCCTTTCTTAGCGGATGCCTAAATCATAACAGCTATCTGTATGCCAAATTTCAGCCTGATCTGTCCAATAGTTTGAGTTGTCCGTTGATAGATCTTACCGTTTTATATATACAGATTATTTAATATTTTCAATAGTTTATCTTTTTTCTCCAAATAATAAATAAGCCACGGATAGTCGTTGAAAAATAATGAAGAAGATTTTTCAACTATAGTGACGTATTAAACTATAAAATAGCTTTCCATCAAAATAATCGAGTATACCCTGCTCGGTTTCTGTATCTCGTCCAGCTTATTAAAGTAAAAATACATGGAGTTTGTATTTTTTATTATCACAATTGGATTGAATATTAGTCAATTCGGAATAGAAGACCTTAACCAATTATCGTCGTACGACAGTAATTAATGAGTTCGGTTGTTTGATCTTTAATTTAAAAAAATCATTAATGATACCTACGCTATAGAACAATAAATAATTTTTGTTACTGATTTCTGATACATAATGATTGGTTTTAAAAATGAGTCATGACTATGACCATGAATATAAAAATACATTACCTACTTAACTCAGTTCACAAAAAACATCTAGAGAATATTTGCACTATACGTTCACCAAGTGGTCCAGGTTATCTACATATAAGATATGCTTTATGTTTATATATTTCAATTTCCGCCACTATATTTTAAGTTATTTAAATTACAATTATTTTAACATTCCTAGGAGATTTAATTATAGGTCCCTCTATAGTTCTAAAATCTAAAATAGATTAGAAGATACCTTCTATTTGTGAACAATATATAGTTTATGCAATCCTCCAATTTCAAGGCTGTCTAATAAACAAAACGAGGTATAAAACAATACCTAATTAATAGAAAATAATATCAGCCAAAAAAATCAAATAAAATAAAAATCTATATTAAACAAGAACATTTTTAAAATGGCATATAAATATAAATTTAAACTTTGAGCCCTCATTTAAGATTTATATACACTTTTATACTTATATAAAAATAATGTCAAAGTCAAACCATACCAATGCCATTAGGTACCAAAATGATTATACTCGACGTTTTGTGAAATATTTTGTAATTATAATATGTACACAATTTCAGAAATAATTCTTCTAGAATTGTTGAAAACTATAAAAATATTATATGATCTTAGCCCCTAGGCCCAAAGAACAGATTTCTATTTATAGTACTATACAACACTAGATAAGGACCTTGACAGTTTTACATTAAATTTAGGGGGACAAAAAAGACAAAAAGTTTGAGAAGCTCTGGTCTAGTACTTAGTATAAAGTCTATGCCTATAACTTTAACTAATACAGTAGTACCTTATAAAAAAATTGTATTGATAATATGATTTATAAATTACTAATATTGATTATTGAGTTCTTTTTATGAAATGTACCTGAAAAATTGATTGAAAAACGTGTATTCCACTAACACAAATTATGAACCACTAGTAGATAATGGCATAATGCTCATTAAATAAATTATCACGATAATTGATTTTTCCGATGTTTAAATTATTATTAGAACCAGGGTTAAGATGTACGTATAGAACAGGTTTATATTATGATTCAAATTTCAAACCGGTTCTTCTATTGTTTAAAAACTTTAAAAACTATGATCTATTAATTAAACCAAGTAATTTTCTAGTATTAAAAATACTAAAATAAAAAAAGTTTTCAAAAATTCTAGTGTATGACGCCAAAATTCATAACAATAAAACATAAGGTTATTAAGAGGACGTAACACGGGAATTTGTTGTCTCCGTCTTACAAGTGCGTAACATGGAAAATGTACACCCATCAGACCACGTTTAGCTTCGTTTGTTTAAAAATTAGAGTGAATAAGAACATTATCTGTGTTAGTACTTAGTGGGGTTTTATACGATAGTTCAAATTTATTAGCAAGTTATTCGTTTATAATACAGCGTAAATTAAAAATGTTCATAACTCACTTAAAAATTGAATTTACGTAAAAAACTCAAATAAAAACAAAGATAATGGTCTTGCCTTCAAGTTTCATAATAGATTGATTCTCTCTAATTTTTAAACTAACAAAGCTGAACATAATCTGCTGAGCGTACATTTTATGTTACCAAAGAAATTGTAATTTGTAAAACAGAGACTACAAACACAAGAGGTTATGTGCTACGTCCTCTTAAGAGAAGTAGAGAACGCAAGCGTTTGTTATCTCAGTCTTAACAAATTTGTTTCAATTGTGTTCTGTTCGATTTGATATTAGAGAATTAACTTATTATCATACATTTAGGTAAGAATATTATTTGTGCATCGATTTTTTTTACTTTTAAGCAAGAAATGGGGGTGTGTGAAATATGAAGATCACAAATTGAAAATATAATATTCTTACCTAAAAGTTTATCCCCCAATGAAATTTTTTTTTAACTGGAGAACCATATTTACATTATTTATTGGTACTAATATAGTATATCTTATAGAAACAATAAGTAAAAACCCAAATCCCCTATGGTAGCTGTAACTAAGATAATATTACTACGTAATAACCACTAAACACTAATCATGATTGAAAATTTAATATTGCACAAATATATTGAAATAATGCAGTTTATCTCGAATTTTGGGAATTTTTTTCGGAAACCTGTAGGTTAAAGATATATTTCAACGAGTTAACTACAATGGTGCAATCAGAATTTGTTGGTCGGACTTAGTTCCAAGGTTATAACTTTTTAAAGATTACAATTTTGAGTATTTTACATCTACGCCAGATTATTCCACGAGTCTACTCGAAAAAGTAGGTAGGTACATTCAAACTTTATATAAATAGTATGTAATTATTTATTTTCATGTCAGCATGCATTTGTACATGTTACTATTTACATTATACGGATTACAGATACAATGGTTGCACTGAGAGGTTTTTATGATATAAACCAAATTTTTTTTTTTTTGTGGTTGGTGGGGGGCAAATGTTTCAATCACCCCACCCCCCACAAACATGACCAAATTACGCGACTGAACGAGAGAACGCAGATAATGTTGTTATAGCCTGTCAAGTTCATCTTGGCCGAAGGCGAACGTTACGATTACTATCTTAAAATGTAGGGTAATACAAACTGTGTAGGTAGGTAGTTTGTGACGTCAGCGGTCGGCCAAGATGAACTGGAAGGTTAAGTTCAATCATGTTATCAAAAATAACAGCACACTATTGAAACTGGCGAACGAAAATTTGCTATCGTCCGTGTGTAAGACGGAGACAACACATGTGGATACGACTACCTCTTTAGAGAACAAGAGGTCCTAAGACACCCTAAGTATAGTCTCCGTCTTACATGTGCCTAACATAGCAAATTAACATTCAGCAGTACTCACTTAATTTAGCTAATTAATATAAGACAATGAGGGCGAATTTACATTTCACCAAAGTACCGAACTTAAAGGTAACAACTAACAACATATTCTATTATTCTATGGTGGGTATGCAAGCTTAAGTTATCTCACTTCAAAATTAAAATATCGTAGAAACATTTAAAAGAATACGATGTTACCAATTACCATTAGATTAATAAGCGAATTCACTATAATATCAAAATATTAAAGAAGTCAAATGAGAACTATTGAACGTAAATTTGGTGCTACTAGTTTGTAAGACGAAGACAACAGATCCACAGATACGTGCGAGACGGCCTTCAACAAGAATTATTGTTGCTCTTTCTAACAAAATTGTTTTAAACAATTCTATTTCAAACTAAATTAATATAGTACAAAATGAGCCTTGTTCTCGCATCCCACCTTGGGTACAGTACATTAGATTGCATTAACGGTGGCCTAGCATTATGTTATAATTAAACATTTGAAAAATATCAATCAAATTTCTTTTTTTAACATTACCTAAGTGTTAACTGATTAAAAAACATTACATAATAGTACCATTTCATGTCAAAATAAAAAAGTTGGGTTATTTGAATATTTAAGATGTAATAATCATGTTAAATCAACAATTTACTTGTAATGATTGCAATTTTTGTGAATAACGTTCTCTCATATTTTGCTTATGACCACTTATTCCGACAACTTGTTCTATCTGTTTAGCTGTATTTCCTAGAGCTCCTTCATATAGCATCAACAGCACCAACTTAATACTTATAGAAGATATAACTGCATTATTCTTCTCAACATCGTGCAAAGCCTATTGATTGAGAAAATTAATTTGATTATCACGATAATCATTTTTAAATTGTATAAGTACTTTGCATAGTCTCCAATTAAAAGCATGAAAATCTGGTACACTATTATCGGACACTTTTTGAGTAAGTAATTTGTCTTTTGCATTAGCATTAACTTGAGATTTGGTCGTAGCAGAAAGTACTACTACTGCCAAGACCGAACAAACGATAAAAAAAAATATATCTAAAATCAAAAGTAAAAATATTGTATTTAAAAATTGAATAAGTTATTCTGAGTTAACAGTTTAAGCACTTGCCTTTCATTGTATCCAAAGGTGTTCTATTTATTTTAAAAAGTTATAAGACACACAGAAGTACTCATAAGTACAACTGAATAAAATAACTACTATGATATATTAATTTAGTAAATAATACTTGCCAGTTGCCAAGATGAACCTTGTTCACTATTAGCTGAATAACTGGTTCTATACTTCTACGTATTTATTAAAAACAAGTTTTGAAACTGACCCCACCTTGAGGTATTAAAATAATGACCTGGTAGGAAAGGTAAGATTATTGTGCATAATCTTATCAGCGTAATTGATGGGAATACCATTAATTAATCATTATAGAACACATTATGTCTTAGATATAAGTATATAATCTCCATACACACATCATACAAATAAAATAAGTGATTACTTTAGAACTTATAAGAAAAAAGAATACCATAAACATATTCTATTCATTTTTTTGCAAATGCATATAGTTTTTTGTCAAACATTTATGAATGTTTCTTCAAAAGTAATCTTAAGTCTCAAATACAAAATGTTCTGTAAAATCGATAATTGGTACTTTATCTCTACGGCATTGAACATAAATATGACCTAGTCAAATGGTTAGATTAAGTGTACATTAAGTTAAACTGGATAGAAAAAGATTGAATTGTTATATAAAAAAAAAATTATAATAATAGAGGATTCAATGTGTATCTCTAATCATCTCCTGACTGTGGACTGGCATCACCATTCTTCTCTCTTGATGGTGAGCGAGATTTTTCATCAGGTGAACGTGAATCGCGCCTAAAATAACAACAAGTAGATACACTTAAGTAAATAAACAACATAGTATATATGGACAAATAACACCAAATTAATTAGATAAACATTTTAGATATAAACCAAATATTTATGAAATGATATAGTAGAATAGTTCAAATTAATTTTAATAAAATAATAGTTTTGATTAATGTCAACTTTTCAATGATTGTTAAGACATGGTATATTGAACACATTGTCATACATGTTTAATTGTATGATTTTAAAGGGACGTGATAACCGCATGAGTGGTCTACATCTTACAAGTGCTTAACATACCATATTCTAAGCTCAGCAGAACCAGTCTAGCATGTAAAATGTGTTATATTATGAACTTGTAAGACACAGACCACACATGCGGGTATCACGTCCTCTTAAGATAACTTTCATGTATCTGTAGAGTATGGAGGTAAACATTTTATTTATGTAACTTTCTATTATATCAAAGCCCCCAAAAATAAAATTTTTAATAAAATATTGACATAAATATAAAATTAATGTACACATATTTTCAATAAGTTAATTCAGTGTATGAGACTTACTTAATACGCTTATTAGATATTGATTGTGAACGTGACTGAGACCTCTTTTTATCTATAGATCCTGAACGGGAACGCGATTTGGAATGAGCTGGTGATCTAAATTTTAACATGAAATATAATATGTACATATTAACTAATAACTAGTGATGTGAGGCTTGTAAATTTACCGTGTACAATTTTACCAGTAAAGTAAATTTACAAAATACATTTTATTACCATTCAAACAGTCGAGGGAACACTCCAATTATTTGTTTTTGTATTTTTATCAAGATATTAGGATTATAATATAAATCAGGAATTTTTTAAGTAATAGTGACAGATTCTTATTTTATTTCATATTTTTGAAACAGGTTATTGTCACAACTATTTCTAACAGAGATTACATACTAATGCTTTATTTTAAATTTATCTTGCCTTCTATACATAATATTAAGAAGAAATTCAACAGGTACACTATAAATTGAATTTTAATATAAATTTATCAATTTTGCCTTCATTTTAGTAAATTAACTCGGTTTATTACATTTTTTTTTGTGTAAAATCCACATCACTTATATTAACCCTTTGTGTGCCAACAACAGAAATGTGAATTCTGTCGAAGGCAGTCCACCAGTACTAGTAACGCACATATGTGTTTCCGCTTTTATCAACTAGATTAAGGAATATTGTTTGTACATTCATACTGGTTGTTTATAATATCATAAGATACGTTTCCAAAGAGGTTACAATACATATCAAAAACTTTATAAACAAAACATAAAATTACATCGATCAGTGGCAAAAAGTAAAAACACATAGGAAATTTAATTCAGCATTCAAAGGGTTAATCTAATAATATAAATTATAACTCATTTAAGATCAACAATTTAATTATGTATAAACTATTTATATTCAAAACTAAATATCTTTATAAGAGAATGCAATTGGGAACAATATTAAGAGAATGTGATACCGGCATGTGTTGTCTCCGTCATACAAGTGCATAACATGGCAAATTGTACACTCAACAGAAAGCGTGTCACTCCGTTAGTTTAAAAATTAGAGTGAATTGGACCTGTTATAATTTAATTTTAACCCGAGTTAAGAATATTTTAAAATGGTAAATTGTTTGTACATCTTAAAATACTCATAACTTGCTTTTATAAAAGGTCACTTCACTCTAATTTTTAAACTTACGGAGCTACATGTGTTCTGCTGAGCGTACAATTTGGTATGTTATGCACTTATAAAATGGAGACAACCCATGTGGGTATCACATCCTCTTAATATTTGATGCTCTTTAAATTAAGAATAAAAAAATAATTATTAATAAGTTGTACACATACTTGTAAGGAGATTTCGAACGAGACTCAGACTTTGACTTGGAATGGCTTCGTGACCTACTTCTAATCAAAAATAATAATAGTACATAAAAATTGTTAAAATAAGTCAGTTTAAGCATAAAATTTCACCTTGAACGAGAGCGTACACGCCGGCGTGAACGAGACCTGGATCTTGAACGAGAACGAGAACTTGAAGGACTACGACTGCGTCTACCTCCACCACGACCGCGACTACTACTTCTGTCTTCTAAGAGTCTAATGCGACGTCCATTCAATTCTGTATCATCCAACTTGTCCAATGCAGTTTTAAGATCCGAATAGGATGCAAACTCAACAACACTGCATCAAAAAAAAAATAATATATTACATGCTAATATCGTATTTTAAGCTATTATTCAAATAATCACCCTTCATTTTTGCGTTGTTTATGTGCATCAGCATAAGTAACCTCCCCAGCTTGGCGCATGAAGTCCTTTAAATCCTATGCCCAAACAAATTTATAAGAATAAGAAAATAGAGAACATTAGGTAATCATAAATATACAAATACACATGTTATAAATTATATTCTTATTACTAAATTAATAATTCTACGCCAAGTACAATTTATCGATTTTAAAATGGGATTGTTTTCGGAAGACTTCACTTGAAAATGAATAATGGTGGGACGTGCTCATTTGCTGTTAGTGAACTGAAGATGTTTTTACACATAATGGATTACGTTGATTTTGATTTTAGTGCTTTTGATGATCGTGTGGCCTTGTTGTTTTGACGACTGATACAGAATTTCTTTTTCATTACTGCATCTTCTAGATCCTTAACTTGTTATTAATTTGTTTTTATATTTTGAAAATAATATTGTTTAAAAATTTATTTTAATAGCCTAACAAATACCAAACATTGTTTATGTTATTATTTAAATACATACCTCTTAAACACATGGAATGGTATTGAAAAGCGACTCGGTCTCGGACCATGTGTGGGGCGACATGAATGGGGGGTTAACCAAATTGGGCAGCTGATCGGCTTGTATGGTTGGGACACCTTTGGTGGTTAGGCCGATCATCCTAGGCCCGGAATGGAATGTGTGATATCGTACTGTGATCTTTTGTGGCCTATGTGCCTCATAGTGCCACTCTTATGTTATCGGCCAACGATCAAGCGTTTAATGTCATTGGTATGGACATCGATCGAACCCAACACATTGTGGTGGCTCTTTAGAAAAATAATATTACATTTTTTTTTCATTTTTTTTTTGTATTTTAATTTTTTTTTTTTTTTATTACGATTAAAATTAAGTTGTTTTATCAAAACATACTTAGACCACCATTCACTTTATGATACTAAAAATAAATATTAGTATATAACTTACACAATTAATTACTAATATTAATTATTATTCTTGTTATAATTGGGTAATAAAGTGAACGGCAAAATAGTTTTATGATTTCTTTTAGATAGCAGAGCTATTTATGACAATATTGTTAAACCTTAATAGAATTGCAGGCTCTTTCCTCAGATAATATTATTGATTGAACGTTTATCAGCACCTCACAAAAACAAACCATATGTGAAAAAAAGTTCAGAAGACATTCAAATAAAAAGATAAATCTCCAAAATTATCAAATGGCAAAACAAAAAATTATTTCAAAACATCAAATTGAAACAAATCTAAATAAATAATTATTATATAATACAAATCAACATCTATATGATTTCTTACCTGCCAGCTAACACGACTTGACAAATTTTCAACAATTAATCTATAATTTGTTCTTGTTGGTGGACCGTACCTATCATTTCTGTCATCCCTAAAAATTATAAAAACATATTTATGAACCAACAATAAAATTATTATCATTTAAAGCGGCAGTGGCCTTTATTTGTTTGCAGCGCCCTGCATACTATAATTTGTACGAGTATATCTAAAGCCAGTATGTGGCATACTGGAGAAGAATCACTCACAATATAAACTATTAAATATCAACAATACTAATACTGAAATAACTTAGAATATTGTAAACATTAATCTGGTTGGCTTTTGTGATACAATTGTACAGGAGCAGGACAAAATTGTTTTCTATCATATACAACTTTTTTGTTCTTAAATTTCTCACACATCTCATGACTAACCCACATTTGTTCCATCTAATTAAATTAATTAATACATACCTAGCATCACGACGAGGTCGTCTTGGCGGAGGAGGTGGTAAATCACCACCTCGCCCTGAACCACGCCAAACATCACTGCCTCTTGGTGTTCCACGAGCTCGTTCAACAGAAACTCTATAAAAATATGTTGATTGTAGATTTTTATTTATTTAAATAAAATCAATTAACTATTCTATTTTAATGCAGCAATTAAGTTTGATTATTTAACTATCATTTAATGCATCAATAGTGAGCCCTAAACAATGGTTTGGTGGTCCATGATGAAATCTATTAAATTTTAGTGAACCCATATAAAATAATCAATTTTTTGTACAACCTCCACCATAAAGATACTTTATTTATGCATATGGCATTAGTTTATTGACTTGAAGTTGGTAGTAATAAAAGTTAGAAATATAATGACAAAATAAAATAATTAGATACTAAGCTTTAAGAACACAAAGTTATATTTGATTGATAAAAGATTATACCTTTCTCCATTGAGTTCACGGCCATTCAATTCATATACTGCATCATCAGCATCACGGTAGTCATCAAATTCCTATGAAATTATTTTGCATAAGTAAAATATATAAAAATTAACATAACAGAACAAAACAATTTAATTACTAAATTACCTATTTTGTGTTGGTATGTATTACTGAATATTGTGCGTATACCGAACACTCAAGATTACTTACAATAAATCCATATCCATTTTTAAGCAACATTTCTTTAATACGGCCAAATCCTTTGAAAAACTTTTTTACATCCTTTTCTTGCACGCCATAAGGCAAATGACCAATATATATTCTTGAACCACTCCCCATTCTAAAAATAAATTTTAAAAAAAATGTACACTTACCACAAAAGCATATCCGTTCTTCATAGCAATATCCTTGACTCTGCCAATTTTCTGGAAAAACCTCTCGAGATCCCTCTCGCGAACGCGATGAGACAGGCCGCCGACAAACACCCTAGTGCCATTACTCATTTTGAACTCTTATTGTGTTTAAGTTCACCAAATGCTTAGATACAACTTCTACAGCTGAATAGGGCCCTGATAAAAACTACCATATAAACATCATTATAAACTGCACAAATAAGTGAATGTATTGCAATCATACAATTTTGACTGTGAGGTTTATTAAAGAATATAATTTTTTAAATAAGATAAACAGAGATGAAAGGGTTACAAATGAAAACCAATAAAATATTGATTAGAACATAAGATATGACATTTGTCAGGACTTCCTGTTACACACTGTATAATGTATATCGTAGACAATTATCATTCATTTTTATAAATCCAGCCGTATTCTCTAGATGAATAACATACATTTTAACAAAATACTTTAACCTCAATTAAAAATACAAAAATAATTTATAGAAAAAAACCAAGGTACCAGTTTTATTACTGTCAATAGTAACAAACTATCAATGTACCATCACATAGGTTGGAAAGATGTATTATATTATAATTGTAGGTATTGCGGCAGTACAGGTGCAGTGTTTAACTATATTCTTAAATCAATGCTTTAATATTATAGAAGTAGATATAAGAAAATTAAATTGTATAAAAAAAAAGCTAGGGGGACGAGGTGGCCGAGCGGTCTAACGTGTCGGCTGCGGGCTGCCGGTCGCGGTTTCGATTCTTGACCACTGGGCAGAATTTTTCTCCGGGCAAGTCACGGTGTCCGGACAACAAGTGCCGCCATCCCCCACTCCGGGGCATGGCAGAAACCTACAGGTGCCCCATTCGAAATTCTGCCAAAAATACACCCACGTGTAACACACCTACCATTCCAAAACCTACAGTTCCAACCCCCCCTCACAATGGCCTATGTTGCCGCGGGATAATTAATAAAAAAAAAAAAGCTAGTCATACAAGCAAGTCATAATTTATATATAATTCATTTAATCATGTCAAAATGTTTAGTGGTGTCGCCGACGGAAGTCATTGGGATTCAAAGGTTTTAGATATAATATATATTTCTGATATATTAAAATACGAGACAAAAATAAATTAAAAATTGGCAGAGAAAAGAATAACTATATTATTAATAATTTATTACATTAACAGTGAATACATAAAATGATTAAGTAGGTAAGCATAAGTCACAGCAACAAAACTACCATATGAAATAAATAGTAAATCATTCTGTTATGCAAGAACTCAAAAAATTAATCAGCAGTAACCATCAATTATTTTTTTACACATATTTTACATTTTTTTTTATTAAATAAAATATTTATATTGAAATCTTGAAACTACATAATAGAAAATAAGATATTGAAATTAAGTTGGAAACCAAAAATCAGTTGATATCCGAAAGCATATTAATTGTCTTTTTTTGGAAATTAACCTTCATTTTGTAGATAACGGGGAAAACTTAATTATATGGTAGTGGTCACGTATGAGAAATAGTTTACCAAAATACAATGTGGCTAAACATTTAATTTAATTAATTGAAATTAATGGTTAATATTATTATGTCCTTTATTATCCTGATTGACTGGGATAATTATTTTGTGATTTAATTTGATTTTATAACTATTTATTATAAGCCATCAGTCATTTATAACATAAGAGCAGTAAACATATATTTTTTATCATAACAATTGGAAAATGTATTAAAATATAGGTACCAGAATAACTGAAAAGATCTGCTTCAATATGGTGAAATTAAATATAATTACAATTTTTATTAAATATTATAATATGATATTACACTAATACATTGGTTATGCATTACATAACTGATTATAAAGACTATTGGTAATGACTAATGGCTAAATGCCTTCAAGAAGTATGTAAATAATTAATTGACAAGTGGTTTTAGATAATAAAAGCAAAATATAGGTAGGTATGCTATTTAATATAAAATATGTATGTAACAAAATTATCAGTAACTAAAATAAAAGAGGATTAGTGAATAAAATGTGCTTTGAAGCAATAAATTGTGTAATATTCAGGTACTGAAGTGATCCTTCACTTAAGTTTATTTCAGTACATACTTATAAAAATAAAAATACAATTTATATGCTTAATATAATATTAAATTATGTAAATGTACTGAAAATGTTATTAAAAAGTGTACACATTGAACAAGTTTGTACTTAAATTTTCGTTAAAAGGGGAGGTAACGCTAATGTGCTCAGATGTATAAAAACCAGCTAAATATCGAAATTAAGATGATGTCTATGGAACAAATATGTAAAATAAGTCTCTGTCAAACATGGGAATAAGATATTTTGCAATGAAAACATATTGTGTTAATGTGAAATAAGCAAGCTAAACATTAAATAAGAGTACCATACGGATAGTATACCAAATCTAACTGTTATAAAACACATGGCAGGGAAATACAAAAACAACTGTAATTCGTAGATACATTAATATAATAGTAAAAACAAACCTTTAGAAATGGCGGTGGGTAATGAAACAAATTAGGAACAGTAAAACTCAAACAGAATAAAAAATTACAATTTGGTATTAACTCACACACGACGCAATAACAAATTATAAGTAACAAAATGGCGGAGCATGGACGATGAACGATGAGCGACCAAGCGTACTTTTGAGTACATAGAAATAAACAATAATGCGCATGCGCTTTACGTTAATAATTTTATAATATGTTTATATCAAAGACCTTCTAAAAGTTTACACGAATGGGATTGAGCCATTAGGGTACTTTTCCCGAAAGTACTTGGATGAAAAAAAAAACGAAAAAACGGTATTGTGGTTGTTACCGTAACTGATTATGTACTGGAGTTCAAGACATAAACACTCTGGCTCGCCACACAGCTATTGATTATCGTGCATGTTATATTATCTTTAATCGTATTGCATAATAATAATAATCTGATAAATGATTATCAGCTTATCAGCGTTCACGATTCAAGAATCAAGCTGGTACTAATAAGTTATCATCATATTTGGTCAATACTCTATACTCAATGGACATTTGTATTTGATATTTTGAATTTTAATATCGAAGTAAACAAACATGGACATATAATAATGTTATTTAAAAATTTACTTAATAGTAAATTGTAAAATTGTCAATACTTAATGCTATATAATATGCTGATATATAATATTAAATTTAAACTTAAACTTAAAAGCTTGAAAGTCACAGACAAGGATATCGAATATTGAATTTGATAGAGCCAGAACAAGAACAATGTATTGTTTCAATATTCAAATTTAATTCATAATTTTGGTAAATCGTTTTATTTAAGACCCAAATTGAAAGAGAAATGTCTAATAAAGATGATATAGATTATGATGTAGGTAGCTACAGATGTGAAGGCTCAGTAGAGCATTTTAGTTTCAGGTAATAGTATACCTATCATACATTCAATAGTGTCCACCTAGTTATTGTTATATTATAAAATAATAAATAAAAATATTATAATAATATTCAATCAATTTCAATCCAAATCTAATATAATTTTAACCTATGTTTTGTTTGAATGACACTTTACAGTAGGTTTGAATATTATAAACGTTTTAATTTAATTTTATATTCAGAATATGTTTAGAAATATCTCGTACTTCATTTCACCATAAAAATACTGAGATTGAAAAAAAGTACACAAAAAGGATAGAAAAAATATTTCATTGGATGGAAAAAACATCAGATGAACCACAAGATCAAAATGATTTAGAAGAAACTTCTTCATCAATTGAAGGAAAACTTTTAGATAGCCATTTGAAAACCGAATTTAATCAGCAACATGTAAGGTTTTAATTTTTAAAATCAAATAACTTGATATGTAAAAATGAATGATGTAAACTTTATATATTTTAGAACGGTCGTACAATTCTGCATGATATTATGGGTCATGATAGTACACTCACTGAATCATTCAAGAAAATGAGCTTAATGAAAGACCATAAAAAAAATATACATTTTTTTACTAAAAACGTTATTGATAATTCACCATCTGACATTTCAAAATTGCAAAATAGATTACCAAATTTCAATCAAATAATGCATGTTCTTCTTGACCTTGGAAATAATGGGTATAAGAATTACCCATATATTAATGTCAAATTTTCAATGAATAATTTACATTACATAGTAAAAAAAATAATAGATTTAAGAGGATGTTGCACCAACATTTGCTGTATCCGTCTAACAAGTGCGTAACATTGTTAGCTCAGCAGAACACGTTTACCTCCGTTAGTTTAAAAATTAGAGTGAATTGACCTCTTATAAAATTTAAAGGTAAGATTATTATTTAGGAAATAATTTTTATTATATTTTAATTTTAAAGCGTGGTATGTGTTTTTGCAAATTGTAAATTGTTTGTACATCTTAAAATACATATTCTACTTTTTAAACCAACGGAGCTAATAGTGATCTGCTGAAAGTACCATTTGCCATGTTATGGACTTGTAAGATAAAACAAAATTTGGTGTAACATCCTTGGAGATTAGAAGATGTTATATTTCCTCTTTGTCTATCACATACAACATTCTACTTTACCACTTGATGTAGTGAAGCAATAGAAATTCTTCAAACGCATTTTAATTTTTTGTAAGGTCTTTTATATCTTTAATATTACTTTTTAATTTTTAATATAACTCTTAGGGTTTAATGGGATTACATACAAAAAAGATGGGAAAGTTGATCTCAAGGAAATATCATTAAATCAATTGTTTATACTTATTGTTGTAGAAGACGAAGACAGAAAATCACTTCTTCCGGATCCCCTTAATCTTATATCCTAATTATTTTATTCTTATTAACTAATGTATTAAAAATTAATTAATTAATAATTTGTTTGTAATTATTTTAGTACAGAAAATGAAGGAAATAATCTCGTGTTAGCATCATTTTATTGGAATCCAAACAGTCATATTATGACAATATTTCCTAATTTTACGACTAACAATTGTTCAGGATATATACTTCCAATTAGTACAGTGAAAGATTCATGTTTTGAGTACAGATTTTGGATAGAAAATCTATCAAATGAATCTCTAGAACTAATTACTGATACTGTAAATGTAAATTATTATTAAATATTTATTTTGATATGTATAAATAAAATAATATGTACATTTTATTTGTTATAGTTTCATCTACTCAAATTTGATCACTATGACTTTTATATACCAGAGACTGATACTATTGAAATATTTGCTGAAATAACTTCTGCTAGTGGATTTGAATATGACAATTTATTTATTCGTTATTTTATTGATCTTCCTTCAGGTAAATTTTCAAACCCAGCAAAATTGTATTTTAATCATTAAACTTAAAAATTTCATCTTACACAAAAACATTTAATTTTAGATTTATTTAATTAAGATAGATACACAATCTATACTATTTAGCGCAGCGATTTCTTATGATGATAGAATGAAGCTTACATGCATATTTGGAGTAATAAGCCACCCATTAGTGACCCTTGATATAATTAATATAAAAGAAACTTTATACTTAGTTTTTATTTATAAAATAATATACTTTACCAATCCACTTCAAAACTGAAAATAATTTGTGTAAATTATGTTCAATAGGATGGAAATGTGCTAATATTAATTCACTTAGTGGAACCACTCATACATGTCGACGAAATAACAATAAGACATCTATATTTTCATATCTATTCAATGTTACAGTAATATTACCAAAAACAATTGATCAACCTATAGGTAAAATGTTGTATAGATTATTGAACAATATGATTTTAAATAATAATTTATATTGTATTTATTTTATACTTTAGATCAAAATATTAACTCTGCATTTATAACATTTATTGTTTATTCAATTGATTCATGGAACAAGGAACGAGTTGAAGGATATGCATCATATCAAATTCCAAAATTCTCTACACCAATATCATATAAAAAAAATATTAAATTAGAAGCTTGGTTACCAAAATCTAGAAATTGTGTTGATAATTTACGTAGATATTTCATTGGTGGAACTGTTAAGTTGGCTGAACCTAATTATATAAGTGTACCCACAAATTTCAATGTAAATTACAATTATTATATTATTATTTTAAATTTTAATATTTACTTGACTTTGATTTATAATATATTTATATACATTTTAGGAAAAGTTGTTGAGTAAATTTGGAATGGAAGTAGAACATAGAGGTACACTGGATATTACATTAAGTAATCTAATGCAGCGTTGTAAAAGCATTAATAATACTGATAATAATATTAATCCTAGTGACATTGTATCTGCTCAAGCGCTAGTAAAAAGTGTCAACAATGTAATGGCTAGTTTCAAAAGAGCACGACAGAGAATGCTTTTAGCTTGCCAGCCAATATTAAGTCCATCACATAACTAATTCATATTTATAAAGTTATTACTAATTATAAAATAATTAAATTCACTCTAGTCAATGTTTAAGGTTTAAACATATATAATTATTATTAATTAGAAATTATTTATACTTCTATTATATGGCTCAAATTATATTTTCATATTATTTAGAATAATGCTAAATTGAGGCACAGTGTTTTAACTATATTTTAATTATTATCGGTTATCATCTAATACAAAATATAAATTGAATTATTGGTCAATATTTGTTTTTCAAAATACATATATATTTTTAATAATTCTCATGTTATAAAATTATTTTATTGCAAATTTTCTATTGTTTTTAAAAAGTTGTACGTATTTTGAATTTCTTATTTAATAGCACTATATATTTCTGAAAATATATGAATATCCTCATTATAAAATATAGTATACAATATATCTCATTTAAAGTATAGTATAATATAAGCATACATTTGTATTATATAAGATAAGTAGTAACGGAGTAGATTACTTTAAAAAACTGTGGTTCACTCATAAGTTAACAATTCTATTTTCTACTCTGCGAATTATTAAATAAAAAACTTTTGTTCTTTTGCGAAAATATTATATTTTAACTCATAATTTCTTATTATGTATCACAAATAGGTAATACATGCCTCTTACAATTTATATCATCATAATTTATTATTGTATATTTTTAATAAAAATAAAAAATATTAAAATATTCACCAAGATTATCAAATACTATAAGAATATATTTTTTGCCCCACTAATATTCATCAGTTTTGGAATGGTTGTAAATAACGCTGTTCCATCATATTTCATTCAAAGAGAAAAACTATTGTTTATAACTTTTAATGTGCTTGATTTTTAATCAAAAAATTTATTTTTCACAGATATAAACTATTTTTAAATTTCAAAAAGTATTTATAATTTCAAAATAGTATTCGAATAAAAAAAAAAAGTATTTGAATACATATATTCCAATTCTTCACATCATTACAAGACAGTTTAAATGTATGTCAAATGATTTGTAAAATGTTTCGTATGGAATTTATATGAATATATAAATTATGTAATTTATATAATTTATGTGAATATATAGACAGTTTGACTTATTAGCCTTTTGTAGGTTTACAGTGTTGCCTATCGCCTATGATTAATAATAATAATTTGATATTAATAATTTTTTTTTGTGATAATCAATTAATAGGTATTTATTTATTATTTTTAAATTGATCTTTTTTTCCGTGTTCCTTTTTGTTTGTTCTTTTTTTTTCCTTAGTCTTTTTTACCGATTACCCTCACTTTCAAATTCCCCGAATCGTCAAAACGCAAAATACCTACTACAAATCTAAGCCCGATTTAAGGGGGGCACGGTCCCCAGGCCTATTGATTTTGGGGGACCATCTTTATCTCCAAAATATATTTTATTAACGTGTCCAATGGTTTTAAAAAAAAAAAAATTTTTTGAACTAGGTAGGCATAGTAAGTAAATTATTAATAATAATTATAAAATAAATTTTTTCTCAATTTTATATCACGAAAAATTACTATAATTAATGAACTATGTTATTATAGATTTAACTATTTAAGTAGGTATATAAAAAGGTAGTTAGAAGAAAAGTAGTTAAGAAAAAATTATTTAGCTCTTGTAAATTAGGTATTTCAGTCAAAAGTATTAATGCATATTATAGTAAACTTTAGAGTTTAGAGGATCATAGTTAACAACCTAGCGAACCAAAATTGATCATTTGACCATCAAAATGTTCAGAAAAAAAGCTTTACAAGAATCCTTCAAAAATATAGTGGTTACCATTTGAAAAAAGTCGATTTTATTATTGGTACAACTGCGTGTTTAAAAATGTTATAAAAAAATTGCCTGTTAAAAATAAAGAAACGCGTCTCTTTTTATTATAACGAAATTCCATATCATCGATCCATAATTTGTTAAAAAAAAATGTGTACACTGTACAATGACATACCTATTATGTAAAAAATTATACAGTAATATATAGTCGTCAGTATGTAACTATACAATTATTTTGAAATTAACGTTGAAAGGGTGCCCACTATAAGTATATGGTGTCCCGAGGGCGTATTTACGGATGCTACTCGAGACTGGCCAATAGATCCCAATTTCAGTTAGGGTTCGTAAAACAAATTTATTTTACGGATACTACTCGAGTCTGGCCACTATGTAATATACCGCTATACTCAAATAAAGACTCATAAAGTTCAATATGAAAGCTGGGCTATCTCCCAATATGCGGTCTACCTCCGTTTTGTGTGCTACGTAACTATAAACATGAGCATAGTATGCGGTCTATCAATGTTATGTGTTCTACCTATATCTGGGAACAAAAATGAAATTTTCTCAACCCTGTGACCCACTTGGGGAGGTGTTGCACAGCAAGTCGGGGAATATTTTCGATTTGCGGAGCGGAGCGACGGCGCCGAGGAGCGTAGCGACGAGTGCCGCTAGCACTGCATCACTGTACGATATTTTTTCAATCAATTGCATTTTTGTTGCACCGAGCCACCAATTTGAAAAAACATCGTACAGTGATGCGGTGCTAGCGGCACTCGTCGCTCCGCTCCGCAAATCGAAAATATCCCCCGACTTGCTGTGCAACACCTCCCCAAGTGGGTCACAGGGTAATAAAAAATAAATTAAATTTTTTTTATACTTTAAATTATACTTTATTATACTTTTAATATTATTGTACTTTATTACTTTAATATTATTACCGTAAAATAAATTTGTTTTACGAACCCTAACTGAATTTGGAATCTATTGGCCAGTCTCGAGTAGCATCCGTAAATACGCGTCCCGGGGACCCAATTGATCCTTAATCCGGGCTTGTACAAATCTGATACTGAATGAGACAAGATCCATGTCACTACGTCCTGGTGGGACTGATTTACGATGGATAGGGTGTCGTTGGTCGTGACCGTGACGACCACTCACTCAGTCATCACTCATTGAACAAATTTTTACGGTCAGCCTCAGCACACTCGCATATCGTCATATCGACATCTACCTAGGAATTAATAATAAAAATGTTTTCTTCTTCTAATTTGTTTTCTTAAATTAAGCACGTGAACAACTATAAAATAGGCATTCTGATCGCCATTTTAGTGGTTAACGTGCACATTCAATGCCGAAAAATCCTAAAAGTCCAAAAAATAATAATATATAGATAAAAGACTTGAAAATATAATACAAGATTCCTTCCAATTTTTTCCATGAATAATTAAAAAATATCGAAAATACATTATCGAAATTCTTTTTTTTAAAAGAGTATGAATTTAAAATGTTGTCAACATCCCGAAAATTGGCAAACTATTTCGTAATTAAATAACTAATTAGATTTTTTGATTGTATATCTGATGTTTGAAAATTGAATGCCATAATACCATATTTCGGATAAGGTTTCCTATCAAAAAGAAAAGTTTTTCGTAAGCCATATTTCAAATTTATTCAAAATTCCTACAAATCGTGGTTTATTTTGAAGACACACATACCTATGCGGACAGACCTCCGCTTACACAGTAGCGTATTTTGGGAAGCTCTATTTTAAGGGGGCCAAATTATTTTTCGAAAACATTTACAATAGATTTTGGGCATTTAGACAACAAAACGCTCAATTAATATTTTAATATAAAGCTATTCTGTGCAATCAATCTCCCACATCTGATAACACGCGTTTGTCGCTGAATACCAAAACCTATTTTTCTGTGCCTAAACTAAACATTTATTTTGGGCTATGGACATGATTTATTAATAACATCGTACTGCCAGTACAAAAGGTCCTAACTAGTACCTACATCAAAAATGATAAATTGTACAGCCGTACAGGTGAGCGTTTTTAATATTTAATATCTTACAGGCTACAATAATTTGTAAGTTATCTTCACCGGCATATAAGTATAACAAATTGCATTCGAACATTTCTTGCAAGTTTGATGATATACTTTTTAAAAACTTTAATTTACCAGAAATGGTATTTATTTATAAAAGCAATAAATATTTTGAGATAAGGCCTTATTGCATTGTTCTTTTATTAATTAACTATTTAATATGTATATTAACATACTCTTCTAATAATAAATAATTACTGATGAGTGATGATACTAATATTATTATTATTGTATTTCATACATAATATTATTATATATAGTATATTAATATATTATAGATTCTGAGCGGAGCTCCGAGCGATGAAGGCAATGATTTTACAATAATATGTGGTTTTTTTTTGGGGGGGGGATATATACGATAAATAGTTAAAATGAAATAATGCTTTAACAGTAGAGTCCTTTTTAGTGGGGAAACGAATTTAGATAGTGCTTTAAAAAAATCAAAAATAGAAAATGTCCAGTAATTTTCAAGAGTGAGGAAAAACGGAAATTTTACGCAAGATACGAAATTGATTTTGATTGTTTGGTGTAACTAAAAAAGAAAAATAACACTAGATACATGACATCTTTTTAAATTGTAAATTAAAAATTATCATTGGACGATGTGGTTGTTTTCTATAAATATTTATATTGATTTTAATGCAAGAAAGCAGTATACCATTATGCGGCTTTTATCGATGTATTTATCAAGGAAAATAATTTTTTATATGTTTACTATTTTATAAATAGATAAAAAAATAAATTAATACATTTTACAATTATTTGCTTTGATTATTTTTTATCACGAGCACTCAGATTTTTATACTGTATGATACTATTACCATATGTCCATATCACATGTGTTGTAAGATTTCTCGGGTGAGACAAATTGACACTATAAAAAACCTAGGGGGGGGGGAAATGAGTTTTAAAGAAATTGTGTACCCAGCCACCCAGGGAACAGGGCAGCAAAATCCTAAAAAAGCCACTGTGCTTACAATAGGTTTTCATTGTATAATACAATCATTGAATTTAAAATTAACACATCCGTACTGTAATAGTAACATACTAAACGACCTCGAGTGCACTTCACATATACTATAGTAGAGTAATACAGCA